CTCTACGTTCATCTTCAGTTGTTTTTGTGCTCAGATCAAAGTATTTAACTTTTCAGTTCTTTCTTTCATAACATATCGTAATATTTTAAACACGGATATGTGCACAGAGTTTATGTTCCCTGATAATACACAGATATGTCCGCAAAATGGATCTGTGGCCCTCTGCTGCTTAGTAAACCAGTAAAGACCCAGGCTGCTCCTCAATGCCCCCCCAACACTTTCCCACTGTAAATGTAAAACACACACACACACACACACACACACACACACACACACACACACACACACACACACACACACACACACACTCTTTGGGGTCTACTCTGGCTGGAAAAACATCAGTGTGTTTGAAATTTCCCAGCATGTTAACGTAACCTTACAGTTACAGCATTCCCACATGTCTGCGTCTCCTCCAGTGACACATGGAAATAAGGCTCAACCCTTAAAAAAAGTGTATATATTTAATCATATTTAAGGTGATTATAAACTGAAGTCATAATATATTTGGGTGCTGGTTGTGTAATTACAAAAGCCCCCCACAGCAGCCATGTCCGTTCTGTCCCTGACAGGCTCGCTTCCAGCCTTGGAATTCCTGGAATGTCGTGAGGTATGACTGACTTTGTAGCTCGTTGTATTTCCAGCCTGGCTAAAGGAAACGAGGCGACATTAACAAACAGGAGCAGAAGCATCGCTGAGGCTTTCAGTTAGTAATGGAAAACTCGGGTTGTGGAATTCGGCGTCTGGATCGTGGTGGGAGGACCGCTTTAGGCGACACTCCGAGCCCCCTGCCTACGCTGTGACTGCCCGCACCGAGGGAACAGTCGCCACAACATAACAGTAATGCTAAATAAATGCAAAGCGGCGTCCTCGATGTTCACACAGAGCCAGGATTCAGGGAATCACCAAACAATCAGATGAAGCCTGGAAAAAAGAAAAACACGCTGTTAGTCATTGTCAGTGATGCATCAGTCACACGATACAGTGACACCAATAATAAACCAATGATACGATCGTACAGGGAGTGGCTATAATTCTTCCTTTCAATGACATGCTGTATTCTACGATATATTAATGTTCTTGGATTATCCCATGTCCGAGTCTTTGCTCGTGTCACTCTGCTCATGTATGGAAAACCAAGTTTCAGTAGAATTCCTTCTTCCTCACTTTTCTGAGCATTTATTCTCTGATGTTAAGAATTCTCCCCTCACATGTGAGCACGATTAAAACCCAGTGTTTGTACTCGCAGGTGCTGGGACTGTGACAGGCCCACTGTGGGGAAAACCGTCTTAAAATCTTGTCTGTCTGTGGTTTTTTTGTTATGCGTCTTTTCAGACTGTGATCCATTTGTAGAATGAAAGCATTGCTCAGAGGCCTGGAACAAACCTTCGCTTGCTCCCTGTGATCAACTTACATTTTGAATTTAATTGCCATAAAAAAGACAAAAAAAAAGTAGTTTTGCAGATGCATTTGACTTTGATTTTCCCTTAAACCCCCCATCAAACCTCTGTTCATATCAGAACTTTTCTGCGTCAGTGAGACACCCTGATATGTATGCATAAATATATATGCATGATATGTATGCATAAATATATATGCATGATATGTATGCATAAATATATATGCATGATATGTATGCATAAAAAAGAATCTAGTAATGTTAAGTTATTATAGTGATAATAACTGATTCATTACTGCAGTAAGTCTAATAGCAGATGTTGTAACAACACACGGTGGATTTTTATGACTGTGATAAAAGTCAAAATGTGATATTGTGACAGTCCTTTTGTTAGAGATGTGCTGTTGTGTGGTGACAGTAATTGTACACTAACGGCTGCACAACAACAGTGGATAACAACGCATACAAACAGCCATGTGACGTGCTCGTTGTGCAGACGGTGCAGTATACATGCGGACATTCTTAATCCTGGCTTGGTATGCTTTCAGAATTGCGCAACAATTTAAACTAAGTGATGCACTACGCATGTAATATGTGCATGAAGTTCTAGAACAAAGGTGTATGTGTTGTGTATACTGACTTCATCTGCCAAGGCTGCATTTGAAGAACTTGCTGCTGGGATCCAGCCACACAGAGAGTTTCAGGATTTATTAGTCCGGCTAATAAAAGGTTCTGAAATCGCATGTTTAAAATGACCGTACTCATCATTAGAGTCCTTGTTGCTCTGAATAGTTCTTCTGAACAGAGGGCTGCTGGGTAATCAGCAGCTCAGGGCTTGTCGTGTCTCCGTTTAGCCAAAGAGCTCGTTCCTGTCATTACTGTGGAAGCGTCACAGCTGGATGTTATTTAAACCTGGGTGAAAATCATGACAAATCGTGGCTCTACACACTGCCAGCTGTTAACAATAAACTGGTATATGTTTGAAAAGGTGTTCACAGGGTCAGTGATGGCTATTTAAAATAAATCTTATGTACAGATGCACGCAGGGCTTCTGTGTGTGCATTCCAGTACATCCATTACTCCCATGTTACTGGGACTTAAAGTAGCATCTGCTGCTGCTTTGGCAATCTCAGACTTCATGTGTGTCACAATTACTTCTATGAACAATTATATTGCACAACATGAGCTCCCCTCCACAGGAGCCCTGCCCCGGTCACATTCATGGCTTTATTAACTGATCCGTTCCTTCGTTTGATGAACCCACCTTCTCTTCTGTCTTTTTCTTGGAGGCCTTCTACAAAAAAGCTTCTTCTTTAAACCCAGTCGTGGTGTTTGGGTAACGGGGTGTTTGAACCGCAGTCTGCATTCATTGATCAGTGAGTTATTCTGCTGCAAACCCACCGACAGCAATGAATGTTTATTGCAGCCTTAAGAGTGAGCTCCTCCAGGGGTGCAGCTCCTCTGAGGTCTGTGCAGGAGACTCGATGGTGATCGGCTTGATCCAGAGTCCGTGTGCAGATGTGCAGACTGTTGTTTTGTTTCTTAAATGTTGCAGTTAATAAGAGCAGAACTAAAATGCATCATGGTAGAAAATCCAGAGTCATTTGTGCCGTGGTGTCCCTCAAGGTACAGTCAACGGTCGATGGTTTTCAGTCAGAGCTCAAACTCACCGACAGCGTTGAATGTTCCCCACGGGCACCAGAGAGTGACGACATTTGAATGTGTGTTGAGTTGTACAGCTGTACGAACCTGCAAATAGGACTGTCACGATACTTCGAACTTGATACTAATATTCAGTAAATACTTGATACGTGATGACATTTTTATTATCACAGACGCGGAAATGACAAACTTAAGAGATCATTTTCAAAATATAGATTAGAGTAACACTTGTCTGTCCAGATCTATTGAGCCACAGCTTTGTCATCATATTTTCATCCTGATCAAATACAGTCGCTCGCTGTTTCTGTCTGGTCCTCCGTAGCATTTTCTCTCTTTCAGTCGAGAACTTGAAGAGATGAATAACATTTTTAGACATGAATAGTTGTGAATTAACGCCGCCTTCAACTGAATAAGCTGAATTTATCTGAATCAATGTTGCTTTTTTGACTGTTAATGTTACAGAGTGTCAGTCTTTCAGTTTGTTTTGCTAATAGTCAGCAGAATACTTGAGAAGCTAGTTGCAATGTGTCAGCAAAATTAGCGTGTGCTGTTTCTTTGGTTAACTCTATCAATAAACATTGAGTTTATTAGCATTGCTTTCTTTTAAATGTTACTGTATGCTAGCATTGCAGAAACGATAGCCATGAAGTTAGCTACTGTACTGTACTTCATTAGCCTGTGGTTGCTAGCTGAGTAGGTAAAATCATTGATAACAGATCTTCTGGGGAAACATTGTTTACCTGGGATGATATCGTTAGCTCATCAGACGGTGTATGTTGGGTCGTAGCTACTGCTAGCTCTGTAGATAATATTAGCTAATGAGTGAACAATTTCTAGCTAAATAAAAAGGCTGGAGTATCTGGTTATTACAAAGCTTATAGCTAACATAATTAGAATATGCGGCTTATCTAATCCGATTTAGGTCTTTGACAGACCTGACCTCACTGTAGTAGTTTCTTACAGTGGGCAGTTCTGCATTTATCTGATATTTATTTGTTTCAGCCTCGGATGATCCTGGAGACATTGTGTGGTTTATCTTCGTGCTATTTTGTCTGTGCTAAATGACTATAACTCGTATTTGCCAGGTAGAAACAGACCAGCTAGAGTCCAACCCTGACTCAGTGACAGGATGGACTTCTCCATCTCCATGTTTTGGTCTCGCACTGAGACTGCAACGCCCTGCGATGTCCCAGCAGCCAGAGGTTTGATCCTGGGACGTACACCTCCTGCCACAGCTCTGCACTGCTGCTGATGCATGAAATCCTGCAGCAAACTGTGGCCATGACAAACCTGCACGGGACTCACTCAGTGGGTTATGTGGACACAGAGTAACTGCGTTTGTGTTAACAGGTCAAAAAATGAATCCGTTTAAATCTGCAGGGTGCTGCTGCGAGCCCCTCTCATCAGCGGTGTTACAGCAGAGCTGGCAGCAGCGCCGGAAGCTTCCATGCAAAGACCAGCCTGTGCGTTTGCTCCACCTCAGCTGGAGTCCCTCTTTAAAGGGTTAATATTGTAATAATATATGAAATGTTGCTGCCAACTGACCGATCTCAGGAATCCTATACTACTTATTGAAATTATTTTAGTTTTAATAATAAACATCAGCAGCTGTACGGGTGTGCAAACATGCTGTTCTTTAAAGGGTTAAAATCCCAAAAGTATCATTAAATACGAGTCGTTTTTAAAAAACTGATATTTTCACAGCTTTTTTGGGGAAGTTGCCGTTTTGTGGTCACGAGTGTCAGATGTCTTTTTTATTTTGACGTTAGATTATTTGCTGCGATCATACAGCAGTTTAAGGGAAGGTGTCTGTCGAAGAGCTCGAATTAAACTACCTCAAACTCTGAGCAGCTGGATAGTTACTGTCTGCTTATTGCAGCTCTTTAATGAGACATGCAGTACATGTTAAATTATTACCTGTCGGGTAGTAAAGAGCTTTTGAAAAATCCATATTTGTCTCACACAGACACACGTCTTCCCTAAAACTGCTCTAACGTCAGGTGTGCCAGTCGTTTCTGTGTTATGTGGTTATAAAGGTGAGAAATATTAACTTTGAAGGTAATTTCCCACAAAAACGACAAGCTGTGCTGTTTCACAAGCCTCGGTGTCTGTCAGTGTGCGCTGCTGTGTTTGTCTTGGCCTGCGTGGAGCGCCTCCATGCCAAAGCACGTTACCACCCTTGTTGGCGTGCAATCTCGAGTGACGGTGACGAGAAGCCGGCAGGAGCGAGCGAGGAGAGGCGGTGATGCAAAGGTTGTGGTTTCCTTTAATAGCCCCGCAGACACGATGAGCGCCATCGTCTTCGTTTTCACTAAACTACCGAGCAAACTGGAGTGTCTGCGCTGAGCCGGCGCTGCTGTCACGTTCAGCCTGAAGCAGAAAAGAACAAAAAAGGAAGCCGGGTTAAAAAATCAGACAAGTTGCAACTGAAAAGACAAAAGATAAGAGTCAGTCAGGCTGGTGGAAGGAGGCGAATGAGCGTGATCAGAGAATGCTGCCGTGCCCCACAGCTGAAACTAGTGCACTGCAGTGTTGAGCTAGTTAGAAATTACTGTTCCCTTTACCCTGCGCTGAACCTCAGCTACTGCTCTGGGAGTGCGCCTTCCTGTGTTCGCCTCTTTGAGGTTGGAAAATCATGCAGTCATGTTTTATTAATGCTCTCTGTGTGTCTGTCTCGCGCTCCGTCTTTCTCTCCCGTTTTGGCTGCTTCCTCACAAAAGTGAAGAAGAGATTTGGAACAGCGTGTTTTATTTGTTCTGCATCCTCTTTTCACGTTGAATCGAGCCGCTTTATGTAGGTTGAGGTTTTGATTTGGAGGGGAACTGAAACCGGTTAGCGAGGTCGGGAATATATGATGCAACTCATTGTGCAGAGATTTGTTGCAGTTGTGCAGGATTAGTGTTGAGATGGTGGATGTGCACATTCTCCTGCTTTCTGCATAATGAATGATCACTTTGGGAAGAGAGGCACGATTCACTCTCTGCCACTTTGACACAGTTCACTGACCGTGGACGAGACATCACTGGAATTGAGAGTTGTCGCCCAAAATCATCAGAAACCTGGAATTCTGAAGATTATTTGTCCGTCAGAATTAAATAAAAGGACCAACGTGGCGTCACTCTGATAAATAGGTAAATACTTGTCTTTATTGGACCGTAGCCTGTGAGTCACTTGGTATTCCCACGTGAATTTATGAGCCGTGGTCAGGCAGACGAAACGGTTTCTTTTCACTGAATAAATTCTCCCTCGTCTACCTAATTTCCTGCAGTGTGTTTGCTCTCAGAGGTGGGAAGTAATAATTTTTCAGGCCCCTTGGCTCTGGCTTCAATGGCTTCCCCTCCTTGGCATTTGGACTTTTTGGCTGCGAGCCCGAGATGCACAAAAGCTTTCCCCCACTCGACTCCCACTTCCTGTGTGTTAAGGGGCTACGCATCCACGCCATCACCTCAAACCGATGACTTATTGAACAGTTTTAGGTGTGGTTGCACTTCCTTTTTTCCTTTGAATAACACTCCTACTGGCGTAGGTATTATCATAACTGAAAAAGTTTGCATAACTGACAAACTTTAAAAAGGTTTAGGGTGTAAAAATAGCCGAGGGCGAGCATGAGAGGCTGACGGGGCCAGAGGGAAGAGTGCAACAGTGTGACTGAACCAGTGTGAACCCTGCGTCGTCAGCACATTCCTGGGGTTGGACAATGAGAAGCACACTGTGTACTGAGTGGCGCTGCCTGCATAGCTGGCTGCTGTGCAGCCAGGAGTACGTGCTGCCTGAAGTGAGGCCAATGCAACACAGATGCACAAAATTCTGCAAAATGCTCGATGAGCTGGGGAAAAGTGACCAGGGTGACTGTGGCACTGTCCCTTTGGTACCGTTAACCCTGCTGAAAAAGCCCGATGACCTAAACACTTGCTTAAATTGAAAAACGTGGTCTGTGTGGAAATCTGTTCTTAGAGTAGAACAACAGGCCGTGATTGTTATTGGACTGGGATTCGTTCGATTTAAGGTAACTGATCCTGGATTAGAGGCTGAACGATTCCAAACTCCTGGAAACTCGCAGTATAAAATCTTCTTGTGCCCTTTTCACAAATGCAAGGACCCATAAAACCGAACGTATTTAGGAAACGTGTAGTATCGGTTCCTGCCGCTGACCATCCAAAACTGTCCTAACATGTGCGCGTTTCCTCTGACAGTACAAATGTTATGCACCTAGTGTAACTGTAGCCACAGTTAACCCAACACTCCCAGCACAGCTCCAGTGCTTGTTCAAAAATAGGCTACTCAGGCTGGGAGCCTGCCAGCATATGCTCTCACACACTTTCCCATTCCATCAAGCCTCTTGACAATGATCATTATACAGTCCACCGGCGCTGGGAGACATCTCCTAATGGAAGAGCACGAGGAGATTAAATCGCTAAAATCACTTGGGCTGCGAATGATCCTCTTGGTGGGCAAACTCAATCAAACCCAACAAATATGCCTTAATTGCTGTGTCAGTCGCAAAATAGGCTTAAAGTCAGATTGGACGTTTTAATATCTGCTCGATTAAGAAGTTTTATAATGAGATGCTGCAGTGCAGCGGGGTCACTCTGCATCACATTTAGCTGTCACGCGTTTCCAAAACGAGCTGTAATGCTGGCTTCATGCCGAGCATTCGGGATGATGTCACTGGATTGCTCTTATATTGAAAACTGACGGTTCAAGTTGCTTTGATTGGTAAGAAAAATGAGCAAATGACTTTTTAAACATTATTTTTGGTATTAATTTGTCTGCTGGCAGCATCGCATTCAAAACACAGGTGCACAAACGATGCCAGAGAATCTGTGTACAGCGTCTTATTAATGCATTTGGTTTTCCAATATTACGTTTAACATGTTTGGGACGTCACAGTGAAGTTCAGTTTGAGTTGAGTCGGTCAGATCACAGTCGTCTCTGCACTGCAGCATACCAACATCTACAAGCATTAATCTGATTAATCTAAACTTTATGTTGTTTTGGAAAAATGCAAACGTGTCGAGGTGGCGAGACACTCTGCAGCCTCGACTCTAGAAAAGCACACAAAGATGTCGTCATTTTGCATAATATTTAAACATCGTGATCGTCTGTGACAAAGGTTGGTGCTGCGTCTCAAAGCTCTGGGCTCGGCCGATTTCAAGGTTCAGTGTTTGTCTACAAGTACAGGTTCTCAAAATATTTTCTGTGCATATTTCTGAGGATCTAGCAGATGTTTACAGTCGTTCAAAAGCATACTTGCTGAACTTGCAGCGTCCATGCCAGGCCCGCTCCAGTGCAGGGACTTCCTCAGGCGGAGTGCCAAGCCTTTCCAGAAACTCCCTGCCTCCACGTGCCATGGATCATCTCGTCATGGCTCCAGGGGTTTCAGCGCCTATTCCTGCTGCCAGTCCCTTCCTCGGCATTAACCCGTGACTCTTTCTTACCTCTCCCCCCATCTCCTTGTCAGTTCCTCGTCGCAGCAGGCTTGCATCCTCCCCTTTTCCCTGCTGATTGGCGTGCTTCTGTTTTCCCTCTCTCTGCCTCTGCACCTTTGAACCCGGCGTCGATGCACTTGATCGCGTCACGTCAGTCTGGCTGCGGCTGACTTATCCACTTCTGCAGCACGCCTGAGAGAACTGCACTGTATGTCACACTGCTCTCTCTTCTCCAAAGCTGTGTCGGCTCATTTCGGTCGTGAGCACCGAGGCTGATGAATATGTATCTGCGGCTCCTTCTCGCAGCAGTTTTGAGGATCTCTAACAAAGCGGGATGAGAGAGCCCTTTGTGGCTGTCTGCTGGATTTAACCGTGACATTTCTCTGTTGCCTGCTGCCACTTTTTATCTTCGACAGACTCTATTCCCAGGTCGCGCTCGCGCCCCCCTTTGAACGCTGCATTGTCAAAACTCAGACCCGCAATCCGCATTTCAGCTATGATGTATATCGTTATTAGCGTCTCTTTGAGCCTTAGTTGAGTCAGAAATGTTTCACTAACAACACTGAAAGAAACCCAAAAAGCTCACTTATGGTACATAATCCATGTTTTTTAATATGTGGAGTCGCCGCAGTGCAGTGGCGGGAACTCGAGGATCAGCGTTTCCTCTGCACTCCAATTCGCTGCAGTAAATCGCAGCGAGCGGTGAACCAGGCCGTCGCCATCTTCGTCATTGTCGTCGTCGTCGTCTTAAACCACCTTCTGCACCCACCCCACCCACAAACAGCGGCTCAGAGCGAGGCGAGCCAAAATTGTGATTTCATATTTGTGTTATCAGTGGGAGGCAGCAGGGGAATGACCTGGATACTGCTCAACCTTTACTCCCGCCCGTGCCGCCTTACAGCCAGGCGCTGGATGGAGCTCGCCCCGTGAGCAGAGCTGCTGTGGGACGCAGTGAAACACCTCGTTGTCACACCAGTGATGAGGGCGTCTTTACTCTGCCGTCCCTCTTTCCTGCACCACCCCGTCCTCCATGTTTAGCGCCGTTCTTCCTAAGCTAAACCGAGCCACCGCGCTCCGTCTGTATTTTGTCTTCATTTTATTTCTATGAAGCCACGTTACCCGAACATCACAAAGCATTGCGCCCCGTCCCAGCAGGGGATTGTGGGGACACTGTGCCCTTAATGCGCTGCTCTGCGCTTTGTGCTCTGTTGACCCGATCAGCTCCGCCTAAGCCTGAGTTAAGCTCATCTTTTTTGTCCTACTGTATTTATGAAAGACGGGCGAGCGTCGAGCAGATATCGACGTTCGTCGGACGCTGCGATATAACTCGGGGACGTCTGAGTTGGAACGCCGCAGAGGTCGGAGTCGGCTGATCCTCTGCGGTTTGACGGCAGAGTTGCCGAGGCCGCTGCTTTTCGGATAGTCGCTCGGGGACTTAACCCTCCTCCTTTGGCACCTTCCCCCTCTCCCTGTGTCTCGCTCTCTCTAGCAGAGGAAAATCTCTGCTGAATTTGTGTCTCCTTTCAGATTTCTAAGAGGCGTTAAACCTTTCTGGATTAAAGAAGCTAATCTGACAGGCAGAAGATTGTATTAGCCTGAGTGTTGGCAGAGCTTTTAATTTCTCCTCTCCTTTCATCCCCCCCATCCCGACTGCCTCTCCTGCTGACCTGCTCGATGGTATTATTGTGTTTTTCCTTTTGAATTACAGCAAAAACATCCACATCTTCCCGCTAGTCACGCTCCTCTTTCCGTCTCGCACGCTCTCTATCCCACTCCTTCCATATCTCGCCTTCCTACCTCTCTTTCTCTCCGGCTCTTCCAGCAGTGACAGCATACTTGCGTGAACCCATGATTTATCATTTGCTAATCCGTGCTGATTATGGAGCTTTCCACGCGGCCCTTATCTGTTGCTGAGCTCGCTTTTCACTCCGTAGCTGCCAATTATCTTTGAGGCAGCCTGCAAACAGACCTGTCTCTGTCAGCCAGCTGCACAAGCGCCACCGAGGCCTCTTACTCTGTATACACAAGTGTGTGTGCACCGGAGCGCTGCCGACAGCCTCCCTGGGCACATGTATTTTTGGTGCTTATTGAAATGTCAGCACTGAAAAAGCTCAATAAGGTCTCGCCGAGCCCCACTGCAGAGGGGAGGGACGGGAAGCTTGGAAAAGTAACCTCCATCGTGCACACTCAAAGCTAAAGCCCGAGACAAAGCCGCTGCACCCTGAAGTTTGCGTGTTAGTGTATCAGCATCAAGGTCAGGAGGGATTCGTGCGAGCTGCCACCTACGCAGTCAGGATGGGAGAGCTGGGACGGCGATGCCTCGTCGTGACTCGCCCAACACTTCCTCTAGCTGAGCGGCGGCACGGCCAGCGTTGGCATTTGACAGCACGAGGTCATCGAGGGGAGCGAGGCCTTGCCCGCGGGGAGGGTATGCAGATCACGGCGGTGCTCAGCTGACGCGGCGTCCAACCGTCAGCGTAATGGGAAGTGACATGCACATCAGAGCAATGTGGGTCAGAGCTCCAGACGACCAGCCCACGGCCTGTATCTGCTCTGCCTGTCTAATCTGCTGCAGCTCGACCAGACGAGGCTCCCTAATCGACCTTGATATTCAGTGAGCACGCATTACCATCTCCCCTTGTGCTGCAAACACACTCACGCACACACGAAGGGACCATCTGAGACTTTTAAAAGACTTAAATGTAGCGGGGTGCCGCGGTACCACGATAATTAATTGTCAGGGAGGAAGGAAACAAGCAAGCGCGGCACGCTTGGCCTCGGGCTCTGCAGCCGTACGCGACAGAGTCTGTTTGGACTCCACGATGTTCACGAACTCACCGAACGTGCGTTTATCCCACCGTCTCTGCTGCTGTTCCTTTGATGTGTTTAATCTCCACTTTTAAAATATTTATCTGAGAGGCGGGATTCAAATGCCGGGGCCTGCAGTTTTTCTGCAGTGCGATGTGGACTGAGCTGTGTGTTTTCCTCCATTGGCTGAAAATGGGTCGAATGGACACACAGCTTAACAGGATTCCCATGACATGGTTGGCGTCTGAAGGGAGGAAGAGGAAGGGAAAGGAAAGGCCAGGGAGGGGGCGTCAGTAGGAAGCAGCGGTGTGGGGAGGGGAAAATAGCAAACTTTTTTGTGAGTGTTTGCTGAGCACCTGTGTACAGAAAACAACTCCATCCTAGCTGCAGGGTAATGACACATGTGTTGAGGGGGGGCTTGAAGTGTTTTGACATTTTCAGCTCAAGCAGGATTTTTTTAAGCAGAGGGAAAAGGCCCAGAGGAGTTCAGCCTGCGCAAATCTGCCTCTGCCTCATCAAAGGCTGTAATTTCCTGTTCATTTCGGGCCCCCTTCCCCCAACCCCGAGCTCTCATCTGCTAATCCCACCTCTGCAAAATGCCCCCACTGTCCCCCCCAATCCCGGGGCCCTCCTGCTGGTGTCCTGCCTGCCTACGCTTCAGCCTGCTCCGCTCCGGGCTGGGGTCTGGGGAGGCGATACGCTTTGTGTCAGCAAGCTTGTGGCAGAGCGTCAACAAATCCTCATTGTCCCGCGCGGGAGTGGTGACGGAGGAGGTGGATGGGAGGGGTGGAGGAGGCATCGCTGTCTGGTTTCTATTCAAAGCCACACATACACACATGTGTGTATGTATATCGCACACACGGGCCTGCGAGGGCACAGAGGGGTTTACACAGCTCCAAGCTTGGGACCAAAGTCCATCCAGAGCACAGGTCGCACTTACACAACTGCTGCCTTCCTGAACTGATCAGCCAATCAACAAGTGATAACCGGACCCGAAGCACCAAGAATCCTAAAAAACACAAAGAATCCCTCGAGTTCACGTTATCAGTCTGTCAGCACAGGACTCTGTAACATGCGATCCTGTAACAGTCAACAAAGTCCTCGCATGCAGACAAAACCCTTGTGTTAGCAGCTGCATGTGGGCCGAAGAGTGTAGTTTCCACTCGAAGCTCGTGTTGATTGGAGGCTACAGAGTGTACAACATCAGCTGCCGGTGGTGAGGGCTGAGATGTGTATCTGGCTAACAAGACTCTACATGTAGAGGCATTTCACAGAACGACTCTGTGCTCGTCCACTTCTGTATTTGAAATTAATCTTTTCCAGACCGCGACTGTTTTGTTGTCACCGTCGGTTTTAGCCCTAAAGCGATTACACTCGTCTGTAACAGCTGCTTTTTCTTTGTCATCACCAGCCCAGACTTTATTTTAGCGTCTGTATGTGCGAGCTGGTGTTAAGCCCGTGTGAGGGCTGTGGATGTGTTTTCCTGCAGCAGCCATGATGCACATCTGTGATCCAGGGAGATGTTTTTGTCAGTTGTTGCTACCCCTCACGCACGTAGCTTTTTCTTTTTTTTTTTTTTTTTTTGCAGTGGATTAAAAGCTTTGGACAAAAGCAGACCGGGACAAAAAAAACTGGGACGGCCTGCATTTCCTGTTACCAAATGCATTCCAAAACCAGCGACCCCCACGCGAGCCGGCGGGGGAACCAACGAAAAAGGGAATAGAAAAAACCAGCCTGTGTGAAATCGCAGTTTCTCTTATCCTTCCTCTTTTGTCAGCATCTATATTAAACCACCTCCTACATTTACTCTTCCTTTGCTGCCTTTCTTAACTTATTGACATTTTGAATTGGACAGCGTCAGTATTTCTTCTACACAAAGAGAACATTTAACTGTGACAGCACGGCAAATTATTTTTAGCTCATTCAACTGATGCATCCTCTGCCTGCTGAATGAGCAAAGCATTCTGGGGGTTTCTCAAAGCGGGAGAATTGCAAGGTGAGCACGCCGAGAGGCGGTCATGAAGCAAAGCGTGGACACCCCCTTAACCCCGACCACTCTAACCCTCGTGCTAAAGCCGGGGTGTCACCTCCCTTCCCCTCACGGAGCAGCAGCAGCAGCTGGCTGACCCGTCCCTCCACTGCAGCCTCTAATGGCTGACCTGCCCTGTCTGGCCGGCCTCTGCTTGCTTTTGTGCGCCGTCTGCCTCAGTTCCTCCCCACTCAAACACTGCTGACGAGCCCCGTATTCCCACAGAGCAAGCTGAGGTGAAGAAAAAGGAATATCCAGACACGCAGACGCTTCACAATTTGCACACTTTGTCCCGCACACACAATCCCTCTGCCCCCCCTAACACACACACACACACACACACACACACACACACACACACACACACAGCCTCTCTCTGCGGTCACACAAAATGAGAGTAGAATAATGTAACACCAGGTAAAGAGTGCTGCTTTAGCTGGAAATGAAAACATTTCTTTGTCTTGTTTTTACTAGTTTAACAGTTGTTTAAATAAAATAGCAGCTGT